CTCAAGCCACACCCATCTCTCCAGAGCCATTTGTCCTGCAGTGGGTCTCCAACCTTGGCCTCTGCTGTCAGGAAGCCCAGCCTGTCTCCCCAGAGTGCTGAGCTTGCCCTCAGAGCACGAGTCCTTCTTGGGAACTCACCCCTGGCACTGGTGGCACCCCAGCCGGCAACAAAGCAGTATACCAGCTCCGACACTCTCAGTTGGAAGTCGGGCACACAGGCCAGCTGGATGTAGGGGCTGCACAGGACAGGATAGTCCAGTTCCAGCAAGGCGATGTCGTTCTTCATGGTCTTAGGATTATAGTATTGGTGAGTCCGCAGCTGCTTAATGTAGCGGACTTGTGCCCCGGGGCTCGGATGAGTCAACTGGGTGGCCCCGATCACCACGTACACCAGGCTGATGTTGCTGGAAAGCAGATGCAGAGAGAGGGGTGAGAGGCAGCAGAGCCATGCACTGCAGCAGCCCAACACTTGCCAGCCTTCAGTGCTATGGCACACTGACTGCCCTAGTCTGCCTTAGACTGTGGGAATGGTGAGCTGGGGGCTGCTAGGAAGCAGTGGAATGAGGCCAGGCTTCTCTGGAGCCCAGAGTCTCAGCTGGGCTCACTGCAAGCAAAGGGGGCGGGAGTAAGACGTGGTGCTGGTGACAGGGCACCTGCTGGTGGTGTGAGGATATCCCCGTTCCCTGCTCCTCCTTACCTGACATCATCGAAGCAGTGGGCTGCCGTGAGGACCCACTGGGAGTGGACGAGGGACCCTCCGCACATGTGCCCCGTGCCCGGTATCCAGGCATGATGGAGGCTGACGAGCCAGGGCCAGGACGCTTCCCGGGCCCCTGTGCCACCCACGACGCGTGTCATGCCGTAGTGACCGTATTGATAAGCAGCGGCGCCATAGTCATAACTCACGGATCGGTACCCACACATCCCTCTGTAAGCAGAAAGTCATGAATGTGCTGCCCTGTGCTGCTGCCCAGGCTGAAGCTCAGCCGTCTGCCCTCGCCACCAGCTGTTGCATGGACAGCAGGCCCGGGGAGCCCACGGCGGGTGTGTCTGTCTGTGTCAGCATTCGGCTGCTGGCAAGGAACTGAGGCTCCCCC